CCTTCCTTCCTTCCTTCCTTCCTTCCTTCCTTTCCCTTCCTTCCTTCCTTCCTTCCTTCCTTCCTTCCTTCCTTCCTTCCTTCCTTCCTTCCTTCCTTCCTTCCTCCCTCCCTCCCTCTCTCCCTCCCTCCCTCCCTCCCTTTCTCTCGTTCTTCAGGAGTCACCACAGCGAGTTATCCTCCACCTCACTTTGTCTTCTGCATCCTCTGTCCTCACTCCAACTATCTTCATGTCCACTCTAACTGCATCCATATATCTCCTCTTTGTCTTTTTCCTGACAGCTGCATTTCTAACATCCTTCTACCAATATACCCACTGTCCCTCCTCTGGACATGTCCAAACCATCTCAGTCTGGCCTCCCTAACTTTATCTCCCAGTTGTTCAACCTGTGCTGTACCTCTGATTATCTCATTCCTAATCTTATCCAGCCTTGTCACTCCTAAGGAGAACTGTGTAGCATCTTCATTTCTGCCACTTCCAGTTCTGTCTCCTGTCTTTTTGTCCATGTCTCTGTCTCCAGACCATACAATATAGCTGGTCTCACCACTGTCTTGTAAACTTTTCCTTTTACATTTGCTGACACCCTTTTGTCACAAATCACTCCTGAAACTTTTCTCCATCCACTCCATCCTGCCTGGACTCTCTTTTTCACTTCTTCACTCATTCCCATGTTCTTGGACAGTGGACCCCAAGCCCTTGAAGTCCTGCACCTTTGTGACCTCTGCTCCATGTAGCCTCACTGTTCCACCAGCCTCCCTCTCATTTACACACATGTACTCTGTCTTACTATGGCTGACTTTCATTCCTCTTCTTTCAAGTGCATACCTCCATGTCTCCAAGTTCTCTTCCACCTGTTCCCTGTTCTCACCACAGATCACAATGTCATCTGCAAGCATGATCGTCCATGGGGATTCTTGCCTGACCTCATCTGTTAGTCGGTCCATCACCAGAGCAAACAAGAAGGGGCTCAGAGCCGATCCTTGATGCACTCCCACCTCCACCTTGAAGTTATCTGACACTCCTACAGCACATCTCACCACTGTCCTGCTGTCCTCATACATGTCCTGTACCAGTCTAACATACTTTTCTGCCACTTCAGATTTTCTCTTGCAATACCACACCTCCTCTCTTGGCACTCTGTCAGATGCTTTTTCTAAATCCACAAAGACACAATGGAGTTCTTTCTGACCCTCTCTGTTCTTCTCCATCAGCATTCTCAAAGCAAAGATGGCATCTGTGGTGCTCTTTCTCTTTCTTGGCATGAAACCATACTAGTGCTCACAGATAGTCACCTCTCGTCTAAGTCTTGCTTCCACAACTCTCTCCCAGATCTTCATCGTGTGACTCATCAACTTAATTCCCCTATAATTGCTACAACTCTGTACATCACCCTTGTTCTTAAAAATGGGCACCAGCACACTTCTTCTCCATTCCTGAGGCATTTTCTTACCCTCAAATATGTCATTGAATATTTGAGTCAAAAACCTTACTGCCATCTCTCCAAGATATTTCCAAACCTCCATTGCTCATCAGGTCCTACTGCCTTCCCCTTCTTCATTCTTTTCAGAGCTTTCTGGACTTCACCCTCACTAATCTTTTCCATTTCCTGGTCCACAGTTTCTATGACCTCTACTCTTCTTTCTCTTTCATTCTCTTCATTCATTAGCTCCTTAAAGTACTGCTTCCATCTTCCCATCACACTCTCCTCACTTGTTAGAACATTACCATTCCTATCTTTAACAAGCCTAACCTGCTGCACATCCTTTCCAGCCTGATCCCTCTGTCTCTCCAATCAGTACAAGTCCTTCTCTCCCTCTTTAGTGTCCAGTCTCCCATACAACTCATCATACATCTTCTGCTTTGTCTCAGCTACCTCCCTCTTTGCTCTACGTCCCATCTCCTTATATTCCTGTCTCCTCTCTTCAGTCCTCTCTCTGTCATATTTCTTCTTGGCTAATCTCTTTCTTTGAACAGCTTCCTGCACTTCACTATTCCACCACCAGGTTTCCTGAACATCCATTCTCTGTCCAGATGACACACCAAGTACCTTCCTACCTGTCTCTCTAATTACTGTTGCTGTAGTAGTCCAGTCATCTGGAAGCTCTTTCTTACCACCCAGAGCCTTCAACAGCTCCTCTCTGAATTTATCACAACATTCTTCCTTCTTCATCTTCCACCATTTGGTCTTCTCTGATTTTACTCTTTTTCACAACAACAGTCATTTTACACACAACCATCCGATGCTGTCCGGCCACGCTCTCCCCTGCCACAACCTTACAGTCTCCAATCTCCCTCAGGTTTCCTCTTCTACACAGAATGTAGTCGACCTGCGTACTCCTTCCTCCACTCTTATAGGTCACTCTATGCTCCTCCCTCTTTTGGAAATAGGTGTTGACTACAGCCATTTCCATTCTCTTGGTGAAATCCACCACCATCTGTCCTTCCTGGTTTCTTTCCTTGACACCAAACCTACCCATCACTTCCTCATCCTCTGTTTCCTTCACCAACATGTCCCTTCAGGTCTGTTCTGATCACCATGCTCTCCTCCCTGGGAATACTCTCTATCACTTCATCCAGATCTTTCCAAATTGTATCTTTCTCCTCCTCATCACATCCAACCTGTGGAGCATAACCACTAACGATGTTTAGCATCAGACCTACTTCTATCTTCAGACACATCACCCTCTCTGACACTCTCTTCACCTTTACTACATTCTTTGCCAACTCCTCCTTTAGGACCACCCCTACCCCATTCCTCTTTCTATCCACACCATGGTAAAACAGTTTGAACCCTGCTCCAATGCTGCGACCCTTGCTGCCCTTCCACTTGGTCTCTTGGACACATAAAACATCTACCTTCCTTCTCAGCATCATGTCAGCCAGCTCTCTACCTTTGCCTGTCATTGTCCCCACATTTAGAGTTGCAACCCTCAGTCCTACATTCTTCACTTTCCTCTTCTCCTCTGTTTCCTTACACGTTTCCCTCCTCGTGGTCTTCCACTAACAGTAGCACAATTTCCGCCGGCACCCTGTTTGTCAACAGCACCGGTGGCGGTCGTTGTTAACCCGGGCCTCGACCGATCTGGTATGGTTTCACTTTGATGAACTCGCATTATTGATTTGGCAAAAGTGTTTTACATCGGATGCCATTCCTGACACAACCCTCACCATTTACCCGGGCTTGGGACCAGCACAAGAGATACACTGGCTTGTGCTACCTAGTGGCTTGTATCCATCCGTCCGTCCGTCCGTCCATCCTTCCCTCCCTCCCTACAGACGCATTGTTTTATCTGAATCTATTACTGTATTTGAATTTGAATCTGATTTTGATTTCTTTGTACTTGTTTTCTTTTGTAAAGTTCCCTGAGATTAGTTTTGTGGTGATATCGTGCTATAAACTAAATTAATTTAATTTATTTCAAGTGAATGTTCGCTCGGTGATTCAGTTGGTAATGCTGCCACCTCTCAGTGAGAAGGTTGTTGAATCCATTGTTGGACCTTCGTCTGTGGTTCGCTGGATGTCATGGATATAATAAACCTGAAGTGATGCTATATCAAATGTGAACTGGAGTGAACAGATACTTTTCAGTATACAATAGAAAAACAAACTGTGTGTGTGTGTGTGTGTAGGATCGTGGGCAGATCGCTCTCCTCTCCATGAAGCAGCCTCTCAGGGTCGTCTGCTCGCTCTGCGTACTCTGTTGACCCAGGTATCTCCATCATGAACACTCTGCCTTCCTACAGAACATCTGACACGTTTACTGAATAAACAAACTCTCAATTGTAGCCGTATATGGGGTAGTATCGATTATCATTTATGAATTATGATTCATAATTCTATTCAACTCTCGGGGCACCACCTCGTTTTGAGGATTAAAATAATTGAGCACAGCTTCAGTTGAGATTTTATGTATTGTGCAAAAATTGTAATAAACTGATTTGTGAAATGGATAATAACTGACTATACGTGCAAACTAGGTGCGTAACGGAACGCTAAAATCACATCTTGGTTCGGTTCAGTTTTGGTACAAAACAAGACAAAATAAAGATTTACAAAACATTTATTTTGAAAATATGCCAAGTAAACAATATGTTTGTATAAAAATAAATAAAAGTGACCCATTTGGATGATATTTTAAATAAATGGCACTCTTTACAATAAATCAATTATACTAACAATAATAAAAATCTTAAATACAATAACATTTAGAACCAGAACAATAAGCAGCAACAAACCGTTTACAATCTAACTAATCAAGTTTTAAGTTTTTGACCCAAAAGACCAACTTGTCCACATTTTCTGCCAAAAGTTGCAGTGACAATATCTCCAGCGCTGGAGAAAACTGCTCACTAACAACCAGGGCCTGAATAACACTTCGCTGTACCCTGGGCAACAATCTTCAAGGGCCCCATCATCACGACCCCAGAATCACCATAATCTGGCAAAATACAGATTAAATTACCATAATACACAGTAAATATACTTAAATTCTAACTATCAAGTGTATTTTTATTTATAAAACTCCAAATGCTCATTGACACAAACCATCAAGACTGAATTAAGTTGAACGCACTTTGAACACCACACGACACCACATGTGAACTTGTTCAGTAACGTGTTGGCCACTGGTGTCAGAAGCATTTATAATGTGTGTGGGGGACACACTGATGGGGGGTCTGGGTGTCCTCCCCCAGAAAATTTTGAATAAAGTAGATGCCATTTCCTGCATTCTGAAGTATTTTAACGGTTGTTTAACATCTAGTTTTACCTACATAAGAAAACACTTGGAACTCCTTGGGATTCTCCTGGAGGAGCTGGTCCAAGTGAGAGGGAAGTCTGGGCCTCCCCACTTAGGCTGTACCCCCCAGATGGATGGAAGTAAACACTTGATTCAGTAACTATTTTAGAGCTAATGGCACAACAAGAAGTAACCTGACCAACAGCTGATTCAATGAATTAAAAATATTATATATTCAAAGGTGACGATTAGATGCCCACATTAAAATGAAATATCTGTAACTTAGTTGATTTCAAATGCACTAAGATGATCAATGAATGTTTGAGACAAAGGATTTACTGAGTAAAACAGATTCCTTCAAGAAACCTCCCAGTATAAATCATAAAACCAGAATGATTTCTGCTCATTCTAAATTTGTCAAATGGCCTAAATCTCCTAAAGTGAAGGAGAATCATTTTAAAATAATAAATAAGATACATCCTGTAGCCATGTTTCTGCAACCAAGATTTCAATTTGAGGTTGATTTTTGTGTCTTTTGTAAATCACAAGATGAATCCCTCGAGTAATTTTTATTTGAATGTCAATACAAAGTGTTTGGTCAGACATCAGAAACTGGATTCATCTCATTCTTTTCATGCTGATGTCATTTTACTTTATGTGGATAACTGAAGCTCAGCTTTCTCTGATGCCATAAATATAGTTGTACTTATAGCAAAGTACCACGTTCACTGTAGTAAGAGGAGGGATAATAAGTCCTCCTTCCTGTTTGATGAACGATTTTAGGTCATAATATTCTTCATTAAGTAGATTAAAAATCTGCAAAACTGCTAGAATCATCTCACAACAGATACAAACTTATTGTTTTAATTAAAACAAAAAGTTTCTCAAGGAAAAAAAAACTGATGAGCTTGTCAGCAGGTAAGGGGCGTTTACCTTCAGGACAAATTGAGGTCGTCGATTGGTCCGTTACTGACACGCCTTCTGAGTTGATTGACAGGTCGAGGATCCGATTGGGAAAAAAAACGGAGAGCTGCAGCAGCTGGGAGGAGGCGGGGCTGCACAAATGCAGTGGAAGCGCAGCAGTGTCTCTGTGCAGCGCAGGGCTCCAATAAAGCAGGAGATAACCAGATATTTTGCTTGTGCCCTCACTGCCCTGGGCCCCTTAGAGATCATGGGCCCCTGGGCAGTTGTCCTGTTGCCCACATGGTTAATCCGGCCTTGCTAACCAGTATCAGGAATAGAGAGTGTCTGGATTTGTCCTCGTTGTCTTTCCACCAAAGAAGAGTCATCTTTCAGGTCTCTCTTGTAAATGAGTCCTCGAGGCTCAATGGGATTTACCTGTAGAAATAAAGGTTGATTGATTGATTGATCTTCAAGGGAAGGACACCCTGAAGCTCTGAACTCACGACCTCTACTTGGACCTGATCAAAAAGGGACTTCCTACCTGCCACCTGTCCCTGGAAAAGTTCAGAGTTCAGTCTTCACAGACTTCTTAGCTGGAGGTGATCTCTGGTGGATTCAACCTTTATTTAAACAGGTTAGTCCCACAGATCCACGAGGACTCATTACAAGATGATTTCCCTGAAGGTGAAGAAGACTCAGCTGCTATCTCGCTGACATCCTCAGACTGCAAACAACACCAATAGGTTAAAAAACTGAGTTATTAGGATTATAAATTTAAATAAAAAATCAAGTTAGATCATATTAACATATAACATTACGTCTTCTTGCACGGTCATCGTTTCTGTAGGGTTTCTGGGGTCTTGTCTTACATGTTGTGTTTTCCCTCATGTTTGCCTGTCACCCCTCAGCATTTCTCCTCCTGTGTTCCTGCACTGTCGCACCTGTGTCTAATCCTAATCACCGCAGGTGCCACTCATTTCACCTTGTTAGTGTCTGTATATATTCAGCCCCTTGGTGTCTTGTCAGTGTCTCTGGATTGTCCTTGTCCTAAGGCTTCATGACCTGTCTCTCCTCGTGTCCTCCTTTAAGTAAGTTTGCTGCCCCGTCAGCATTTTGTTTTGTTTATTTAATTAATAAACTGTTTTTACTTATTTACTGGAGCCTCATTCGTCTTCCTGCACGTGGGTTCGAACACGCTACAGTCAGATCATGATAGTTTCTGTTATGAGGTGGTTGAATCTCTCATCATCATCATCATCATCGATATGTTGCAGGGCTTTAATCTGGTCCAGGGCTTGTTGACGATCAGTTTTATCTTTTTCATTAAGTGCTGCTACAACGTTTTGGCTGAAGTGTTGACGTGATGGGATGTCATAGCGGGGCTCAAGAACTTTCAAGTCGGCGCATCAACAACATTTGGACGTAGATCCAGAGCTTTAAAAACTCCTACATCTTGTGTTGTTGCCCTGGACCGACCTGAATGAACCGATGAAGGTTGTTTAAATGCTGCTGCTATCGCTCTTTGCACCAACTGTAGAAGAGACGTTCAGGTTCGGATGATATCATTTCAAGCGCGTTAACAAGTTGGACGTGTTGCTGCTGCAGATCCAGTCTCCGTGAAACAACGTCGACACAGCTTTGGATTTGTTCCCTTGTCTTTTAACAAGAAAGACACAATGTTCCCAAACAGGAGACCACAACGAGATGAAAGGGTCTCCAAGCTCGGGCTGTTTCTTTGCCTGCTAGGCTGCTAATGCTACGATTGCTCCAAGACTATGCAACAATTAATAGCGACGTGCTGAAACACACACAGGAACTTTAGTTCTGCAGCGCATAATCTCTCGTTAATAAATTTAATGAGTGAAAAAATAACCGAAACGATACGCGTGTGGACCAAACCGAACATGCTGTACCGAAACGGTTCAATACACCCACATGTACCGTTACTCCACTAATGCAAACTAGTACTACTAAAATAAATAAAAAGATATAAAATAAATCTGTGAGATTATAAACTGGATATCAAAGGACTTTGAGCCTTGAAAAGAAAAGTATTAGTTATCAATGTTACTGAAATGTTAAAAGGCAGATTTGGGACTGGTTCACTGTAAAATATATTTATCTCTACTTATGGAGGATCTAAATACTTTCAAACTGAACTGCTTTTAGTTAACTGATCTAATTATTGTGACGTGCCCCAAAAGTTACCAAATGAGCAGTAAGGAAGCTTCAGTCCTACCGGAAGTTGGGAGACCCCTCTTTCAGCCGCTGAAGATCAGTACCAACTGGGTCCTTTCCCAATGGAGTCATGGCAACGTGACGTTGATGGCCATCCAGGAGTCACTTCGATTGGTGGGAAGGGAGCCGTTGCATGCCCTCTCTCTGGGTTGGTCCTGATAGTCGGCTGAAACCACTGACTTTGAAGTTCTGGCCCAGACTAACTCTGGTTATGCAGATTTGGCTGCCCCTCAATTGTTCACGCTGGGAGGATGACGGCCACGAACGTCTGGTTTTGAGCGTCATCTTGGTTCTTTGCAGCAAGTCAGGTTTTCAGGTTCTGGAACTCATCAGCAGCTGTCAGAACCTTTAAGTTGGCTACATTGTTGAAAACAGTTTGAAAACTTGAACTAAACTTTACTGATTTGAAAGTTAAAATAAAATTCTAACTTTTAAAAAGTTAGACTTTATGCTTCATCTTCTCCATCTATTCTCATCATCCTTTGACAAGACTCTTACAAGACAGAACCAGCTCAGCACAAGCAGCCATCTGCTTTGACCGGCTGGTTTCAGAGGACAGGAAGGAGAGACACACGAACAGAATGGTAGGTCCAGGTCCAGGTGCAGGGCCAGGTGTACCTGAAAGACGAAAACATGTCAAGGATGGAAAAAATAATTACAAATACAAAACAGGTTGAGCAGAGGAAGTATTGATGAAGTTGATGTATAACAGGTTGTTATGCATCAACATTTACCTACAGTTGTAAACACTTGATAAGATTAGTATTTTGGAGAAGAACAGCAGATTGTGTGTGAATGATCAGCTGTGGTTCTGTCAGGTGACCTAACCCCCCCTCCCCCCTCCCCTCACTTCACTGTTCTGAGCTGAACTCTTCTTCGCTCCTGCTCCAGTCTCGTGGCACCGTTTGAAGCACCTGAAGGCTTCAATTCTCAGTTGTCGGACCATCCATCCATCATCCATCCATCCATCCATCCATCCATCCATCCATCCATCCATTTTTTATTAAAGTAAATTGGACTGCCTTTTTGACATTTTCATCTCTGTTGTTTTTTTGACAAATTGGCGCTGTTGTTTTAAAACGTGATGTATAATTTGAATAACGCATCAAACATTTCTCTCTTTGTAGGTTAGAAGTAAGATTTTGAATTCAATTCTGGATTTGTAACTGTTCTAGAACCGCTCCGCTCCAGGTGGCTGCATGTTGGAGCAGCTCTGCTACTTTCATTCTGAGATTTTGCTTTTGGAAACTTTAATTCCTCTTTTTCTGGATGTAAATCACATTTTCTGGATGATTGTTTCCTCTGGTATCAAATGCTGTGCAGCTGGAAGGATTTTTACTGAAACTTTTTTAGTTTTGGACATTTGTTATGATGCGTAACCATGGCAACAAGGCAGTTTTCTACATCCAACAGCTGAATAACATCTCAAAAGCTCAAATAATATCTCAACTACAGCCCCAAATCTCAGATGAGTTGTAAAGGATGTTTTGTGGACGCATTCTCATCTACCTGCCAGCTGTGCTCGAGTGCCTGACCACTGAGATCCTGGAACTAGCAGGAAACACGGCTCAGGACAGCAGAAGGACAGGATCGTCCCTCGGCACCTACAGTTGGATGTCCACAGCGACGAGGAGCTCGGCAGACTGCTGGGAGGAGTGGCCATTGCTCTGGGAGGAGTTCTGTCCAGTATTCAGACGCTCCTACTGCCCGGGGGAACCGAGAGGCCAGCTGAGTCTGGGTGGACGGATCTGACAGCATCTGCAGCCAGTTTCTTAGGATCCACTGTGGGATGGACCTTTACAAGAGATCCTTCCTGTCTACAGCATCAGCATCTATAACATCTCTTAATGAAATGAGGATAACGAGTTACAACAACAAATAATTTCCCTCTGGGATTAATAAAGTATTGTTGAATTTTAAATTTAAATTTGATTTGACAGGGAGCCAATGGAGATAAGCTAAAATTGGAGAGATATGATCTCTCCTACTGACTGACTGTGGTCTGTGTGTTAAGAAGTCTAGTACCCAGTTGCAAATGGAGGGGCTTAGTCCTAGTGTGAATAGTTTGTCCATCAGGGTTTGGGGGATCATGGTGTTGAAGGCGGATGTGAAGTCCACAAAGAGCATACGGACGTAAGAGTTTTTCTGCTCCAGGTGGTTGAGTGCAGTGTGGACCACAGAGGAGATGTGTCCTCTGTTGATCGGTTCTCACGGTATGCATACTGATGAGGGTCCTCGTTGATGTTGATGGTTGTTTTGATGTGAGTCATGACCAGTTTTTCGAAGCATTTAGCGACTATCGGGGTGAGGGCCACTGGCC